GAGGGTCCCGAGGCGGGCGGTGGGCGTCTATGCTTTCGCAGCCCCGCTCGGGGCTTCCGCTGCCAGGCGCCTGGCTGCGTGACGCTGGTCTCGGCGGGGGGGTTTCGCTACGCGCCCACGTCCTGCGCAACCGCAGCGTGCTGCTGCAGTGGCGCCTGGCTCCGGCCGAGGCGCGCCGCGTGCGAGTCTTCGCGCTGAACTGCTCGTGGCGTGGCACCTACACACGCTTCCCGTGCGATCGCGTGCTGTTGGGCGCCTCCTGCCGCGACTACCTGCTGCCCGATGTGCACGATAGCGTGCGTTACCGCTTGTGCCTGCAGCCGCTGCCGCTGCGCGCCGAGGTCGCCGCCGCCCAGCCAGAGCTCGCCGAGTGCTTGGAGTTCACCGCCGAACCGGCAGCTATGCAGGAGATCGTGGTGGCCATGACGGCGGTGGGCGGCTCCATCTGTGTCATGTTGGTGGTCATCTGCCTGCTGGTGGCCTACATCACCGAGAACCTCATGCACCCGACCTTCCGGCGACCCAGTCGGCGCAGGCAGTCCTGAAACGCAAGGCGACCCTCCCACCTGGGTTCCACCTGCCCAAATGTGCTAAGACCCTAGGCCCCTTCCTTGCTTACCTCTCATTCCCTCTCTCTCTTTACGATGCCCATGGAGAGCCTAATGGAGACTAGCCCGTGCAGGGATCTTGTCAACATCCGACGACCTTGCCAGCCCCAGCTGGGTTTCTGCCTTCCAGACTCAGGCCTCAGACTGGCCATGGGCTCCAGGCTAGAGTGTTAGCCAGGGTTCTTCCCTGTCTCTAGAGGCCTTGTAGGGACGGCCAGAATTTACAGTCCCTCTGTCAAGAGCCACTGGCACCCAGGATCATCAACCTGAACTTTCGTCTTGTGCTAGGTTGTCAGAGCTTGGGCGTGATTGTTGTTGCTCGGTCACTTTGCGATTTGCAGATAGGGACGAGTGACCTCTGGATCCTGTACCCACCTCACCTTACCCAGTGGGCTTAGGTTAGCTTTGTGCCTTAGTTTCTCTGGCCCAATGCAGGAGCCACCCATCATCCCTCAGCTGTCCATGGGGATTTGTGGCCCTGCGACTGGCTGGTTTATGCATGCTTTTGCCCAGAGTCCCATTGAGGACACAACCATCTTCGAGATTTTCAGGCAGGGGTTCACAGGCCCTGTTTTGTCTTCCTATGTGGGTGTCCAAGAAGCCAAGAGCCATGATGTAGCTCAGCAGGCTGGACCCAATGTCTAGCTGCTGCATCCAGGGGTGAGGGTCCTCCACCTTAGGAGGCTGGGGATTCACCCTTTCCTTTCGCTTGTACTGCCTTGATTAGGACTTTCCCTGTGTGTGTGTGTGTGTGTGTGTGTGTGTGTTGGGGGGGCAGTGTTGGGAGGACAGATGAAGGGATCAGGAGACCTGAAGGAAAGCTGCCAGCCTTGTCCTCCAGCCAGACCCTTAACTGTGGTCTGGATCCCAAGCCTCAGCCAACTTGAGACCTCAGTGGCCACGGTGCCACTTCATTACCCCATGTCCTTCTTACAACTAGAGGGTAGAGAGCCTGAAATCTGACTCCAGTGATGTGTAGCCCCTCCATCTGCATGGTCAGAGGTTGGCCTTGCCTGCCTCCTGGCAGACACAGGGACCTAGCTGAGGTCATCCAGCCATCTGGTGATATTGTGCACTTTCCATGTCTCTGAGCCTGGGCTCTGACCACTGGACTTGGCCCCTGGCTATTTCCCCTCCCATTCTTCCCCCAGTGACCACAATGACTTGAGCCCTGGCTGGTAGCGCTTATGCCCTACCTCTCTGTCTTTGCTCTGCCCACTCCCTGTGAGGCACTGGACAGTTGCCAACATCTAAATGTCCATCACTCTCAGACCAACAACACTGTCTTGTGTGTTTATTTGGGATGTTGGAGGGAAGGTTATGGGTGAGGGAAGGTACGGTGGATTCAGTTCCTCCAAGGGCCTCAAGCCTTAGTCCAGTGGCTGGCCTTGAACCTTTTTCCAGCGGGCATGGGACAGGGATCAGCCCCAGGAAGTGTTCACTGGAATGCTGACTTTACAGTCTGGCAGAAGGACAGGCAGGGTGTCCATAGCTTACTTGTCCACCCTCAGACTGTGGGAAAGCATCTCTTCCTAGGCCAGCCGTGTTGGGTGGGTGGTGGGTAGGGAGCTGGCACTGTCAGTGGTTAGAAATATCCTCAGCATACAATAATGACCCATTTGAACTGTCACAAGCAACAGTTGTGCAGCTCTAGGAGAAGGTACCCTCCCCAGCATGTGGCTTCTCTCTGCAGTGTTAAGAACTGGGAGGAGGATTTGGCAGAAAGTGAACCTGGGGCTACTGTGTGAGCTACTCACTCTCCCCACCTGGAATGTCCTTGGGTCTCTTGTGCTTCTATGACCCTGAAGAAGGCAAGAGCACAAGACAGGGATGAGCCAGCTCTGATGAGTGACTCATCTTGAGGGAGTGGGAAAAGGTTGGGGGTGTAGTGATATGCCTAGACTCATCTTAGGGGTGGATGACATAGCAGGTTGTCTAGAGAGCCTGGGCAGAAATGGGAGGGTTTACAGTCCAGCTGCCTTCCACTGCTGTTCTTTGGGGACCTAGGCTGTATATGAGGTATATTCTGGTGTCTTCAGCCAGCATGGGTAGGAGTTGGCATTCTGGAAGTGCCCTATCTGAAGTACCTTAGTGTCCAACTTCTAGCTCCCTAGTCACAGTCTGATTCCAGAGCTAGGACCATGTGGCTTTTTGTGGTGCTAAAGTTCTATGAGACCTCCTCAGACCCGAAGCAGGATTCAGCTGTAGCTCAGTTGTTAGAATGCTTTTGTAGCATTTAAAGGGTGCTGGGTTCAGTCTCCAGCACTGTATAAATTGGGAATCATGGTAGATATCTGTAACCCCAGCACTCAGAATGTGGAGAGTGGAGAATAAGAAATTCAAAGTCAGAGGGTCATGGTGGTGCACGCCTTTCATCCCAGAACTCAGGAGGCAGAAGCATGAAGACCTCTGAGTTCGTGACCAGTCTGATCTACAAAGTAAGTCCAGGACAGCCAGGGATGTTACACAAAGAAACACTGTTTCAAAAAAGAAAACAAAAAAAGGTTCAAAGTCCTCAGCTATGTTGAGTTTAAGACTAGGGGGAAAAATCCCCAATTAACAGACCAGGCTTATGAAAAGATACAAATTGTATCCATTTAATTAGTATCCAGGTTTCCCACATCTATGCCCCAGTCAGAGCTGTGTCCCAGCCTACCCTGTTCAAGTGTGTGTGGCACTTTTTGAAATTTCTAGTATGATTCCTAGGAACATTTTACACGTCTACCCAAAACAAAACCCTCTGCTCTGCCTACCTTCAAAAACCTAGTCACAGCCGGTGCCTACCTTAGCCTGCCAGAATGATCCATGGCCACTTTCTTTGCATGAACTGAACTCCCATGAAGGGAGTACCAAGGTTTGAAGGGGATGACCAGCTTCCTCCATGTGCTGAGTTACATACACAGAAGCTACCAAACGAGCTCACTCATTGTTACCAGGGCTTAGGACATGTAAACCCTACTAGTCATTGTGGATCTTGAGCACTTAAATGTGGCTAGTGTGACTGAGGGAAATTTTGCTTTTGAGATGGGGTTTCAGTGTGTAGCCCTGACTGCCCAGGGGCTTGCTATATAGACTAGGCTGGCCTTGAACTCCCAGAGATCTGCTGCCTGTGGCTCCCTAGTTCTGAGATTAAAGCTGTTATGCAGAGAAACCATTTCTCAAACAACAACAAAAATCAGGTCCAGCATCCTTTTTTTCTATTGGACACCATAATATGTACCATAAAATGATAAACCTTAAAAATTAAAAATTTTAATCTAGGTATGGTGGTTCAAAACCATAATCCCAGTAGCTGCTGGAAGGTGGAGACAGGAGGGTTAGAAATTCAAGGCCAAGCCTTGGCAATTTGAGACTATCTCAAATACCAGACCACAGGTTGTCGAGTTGGCTTACCAGGCAAAGGACTTGTCAAGCCTGATGACCTGAATTTGATTCCTAGGACTCACACAGTGGAGGGAGTGCACCAACTCCTGGAGGTTGTTGTCAGACTACTACGTGTCCATGGTCCATACACAAAATAAAGGAATGTAAAAAAAAACACATTAAGTTTCTGCATTAGCCAAACATGGCATATTTACATAATTTCATCACTCAGCAGGCTGAATCTAGAGGATTGCTTTGACCCTGTCTAAGCTAGGGATTGAACTCAGGTCCTTTTGCCAAGTACTCCTACCACAGCATGTTTCTTTTCTTCCTTCTTTTTTTTTTTTTTTTTTTTGAGACAAGGTTTCACTATGAAGTCAGAGCTGTGCTGGAATTTGCTATACAGACTAGGCTGGCCTAGAACTTACAGAGATTTTCCCCTGCCTCCAGGATGCTGGAACTAGAGGTGTGTGGCACAATGCCTGACCCCTTGACATTTTCTTAATCCAAATGTGAGGAATTTGCATACCCACACAGGCATGGTGGCACATGCTTGTAATTCCAGCACTCAGGAGGCTGAGGCAGGAGAATTACAAATTTGAAGCTAGCTTGGGCTGCACAGTGAGACCCTGCCACAAAAACTCAGAAGTAAAAAAAAAGAAAACAGAAAAAAAAAAAAAAAAACCCTTCTCTATTCAACCTGCAGGTACTAACTCAGGGAAAATGAAAGTATTTGTACAAACTGTTCACACATGATGTATCTGTAATAGCCCTAGACTAGAAATAGCCCAAATACCCATTTGCAGGTGATTGAACAAAATTTAGTATGTCCAAACAATGGAAAACATCATGATAATAAAACTAGCAATAAGGAAGTTGAGCATGGTGGCATATGCCTTTAATCCCAGCACTCGGAAAACCGAGGCAGTTGGGTCACTGAGTTTGAGGCCTGCATGGTATTCAGAGCAAGTTCCAAGACTGCCAGGGCTACACAGAGAAACCATGTTGAGAGAGAGAGAGAAGAGAGAGAGAGAGAGAGAGAGAGAGAGAGAGAGAGAGAAAGGAACTAAATACTATATTTGTGACTTAGTCTGGTTATTAAAAAATTGTCCTAGCCAGGCACAGTGGCATTTTAATCCCAGCACATGGGGGTTTTGACGATAATCTGGTCTGCATAGTGAGTTTCAGGCCAGCCAGGGCTACATAAAGGGACCCTGTTTTAACAACACAAAATTGCCGTTGGTGTTGGAGAATTGGATCAGCATTTAAGAGCACTAGTTGCTCTTCCAGAAGACCTGGATTGGATTTCCAGCACCCACATGGTGGCTCATAATCATAACTATAGTCCCAGGGGATCTGATGCCCTCTTCAGGCCTCTGGGAGCACCAGGCATACATGCATAGACATGAATGCAGGTAAAACACCCATATACATTAAAAAATAAAAGTTTTTTGTTTTTGTTTTTGTTTTTGTTTTTTTAGACAGGGTTTCTCTGTGGCTCTGGAGGCTGTCCTGGGACTAGCTCTTATAGACCAGACTGGTCTCAAACTCACAGTGATCTACCTGCCTCTGCCTCTGCCTCTGCTGGGATCAAAGGCGTGTGCCACTACCACCCAATAGTACAGTTTTTCAGCGTAGGTTTCCCACATCATACTTTGAAATAGGTATCAGTGAGACAGAGTCCAATTCCACAATCCTGGTTGTGTGAGTACTCAGTGTGAACCGGGGTGTGATGTCCCTTCAGCCCCTCCACTTCAGTGTGATCTGGGAGCACTCAGGTGAAAGCCTGCCTGTTTAGAGACAATAGCTTTTGTTTTGCTTTGTTTTAGAGATGGGGATTCATGTAGTTTAGGCTGATCTCCAGCTCTATGTAACTGAGATTGACCCTGAACTAATTCTCTTTGCCCACAACGCAAACACTGAGATTTATAGGCATGTACCACCATACCCAGATTGGGACAGTAGGTCTATGCAAACTAGTAAGGAACAGGATGCAGCTTGGTGGTAGAACCCTTGTTCAGTATGTGTAAGGCCCGAGGTTTCATGTGTATGTGTATGTATGTATGTGTGTGTATGTATGTATGTATGTATGTATGTACCTACTCTTTTAGGGCTCAGAATCTGTAAGCAGGGTACATAGCTCCAAAAAAGAACATTTGGAGATCTAATGGGCAAGTTGAATGTGACGAGGTATTGGAAGCAGACAAACAGTGGAGTAAAGAAGCAGAGGGGAAGGCTTTCTGAAAGAAGGGACATCATTTCTAGCTCAATTAGTGATTAGGGTGACTGAGATATAGCTGGACTAGCAGGGCAGGTGGAGTGATGTCTACAAAAGCAACAGCAGATGGGTGCAGCACATGCATTAGGGGAAGAGGCATGGGTGAGTAGAATGTAGCTACTCAGCCATTAAGTTCCAAGACAGTAGAGACAGTGGAGAGGTTGCTGTCTAGACAGTAATGCCTTGGAAGTCAGGTCTATGTGTTATGAGCACACTGAAGAAAGTCTTGGAGGGTTCATGTTCACTATGGAAAAAGATTTGATATTCCTGTGACTGCAAATGAAAAAGGATCTTCATCATTATATAAAGAGACTTTAACATAAAAAAGCATTCAGAGCACCTCAATTCTTCTATTCTCAAATGACTGCCCAGTTTCACTTTCACAATCTCAGTTTGGTATATATTACATGGACTTTGGTAACTATCCCTTGACCCATATATGGATTTATTTTTTTATGCTTTTTTCTTTTTTTGAGACAGGGTTTCTCTGTGTAGCTTAGGAGCCTATCCTGGCACTTGCTCTGGAGACCAGGCTGGCCTTGAACTCACAGAGATCCAAGTGCCACTGCTTTCTGAGTGCTGGGATTAAAGGCGTGTGCCACCAACACCCGGCTGGATTTACTTTTTTAAGTTTTTGT